ACACCTGTATATGTCAGTGATTCTCCTGCTGTGAGGGTGAGTGGGAGCAGGAGCCATCTACTCTGAGCCTGTGCTTGAGAGGAGTTGTTTGGGCAGCAGCACAGAGTGTCAATGGTCAGACAATAGGCCAGCTCACTTTGCTGCTGGCCATACATAGCTTCGGTTACTTGGTACTAATCATACCAATAGCATCTCATACTTTTCAAATTTTTTACAGTGTAACTATTTATTAGGTACTTATCTAATTTGGAGTGCCTAAAGGAACTGTTAGAAGGGAAACAGGATCAAATTGAGTATTAGGAAAACAACTGACAAATAATTTTTAAAATGAGTTTATTAAAACTACAGAAGCAGCCATTCCTATAGGACCTATGCCAATGATAGTGAACCTTTAAGCACTTTAATTGAAAACAAATAACAGGCTGAAACACTTGTGCCATGGGTTCACCATCGCTGACTTACATTTCCCACTCAGGCCATGCAAACTTCTCTGCAGTCCTCTTCTTTGAACTTGCTATTTGCTTATGAGGAGTCTTACATAAATGACATAAAACACAGATAGACAAACACCCCTCCTCCTACTCTCTTGCCATTCCTATCCCTATGAGTGCAGGGCAAGCAAAAAGAGTGGTCAAGTTAGTGGACACTTAATCTTTAGTTTCTTCTGACAATTCCACACTTTGCATTCCCCAAGCCCTTATCTTCACCCCTGCCCTTCCTCCACCAGAACAAGGCAGGGTTTCTTTCCCACACACACTCTGAAAGTTGTCAAATAATTTAAGCCAAGGTGTTTGCTGATAATAAAGGTGTTGTGGCTGATAAGAAAAGTATTAGCTGATATGTTTAACACTCGCATAGATGTTTGCATTTTAGTAGAGGTCTTTGGAAGAAAGAAGAAAAATTGTGAGACGTCTTTGGAGCACTGAATGTAGGCACAGAATTCCTGGCATCATCTCAGACCATGCTAGTCTTGCAGAAATGCTCTCCACCCATTTATAGTACCACTTTCAAATAAATGCTTAATTGCTGCTAGGTGGGTGGTCAGAGCTCCCTCAGTGGCATCTGGCTTGCACACCTGACCTGCCCTGACTCCTTGCCTGGCTTTCTCCTTAGTCTCTGTGGGAGAGGGTGGGAGGAATGGTGAAGAGGGGTTTGGGAAGAGGAATGGGGGTCATTCAAAATTGGAAGACTTGATATTAGAATTTTACTTTTTCCACACTGGTGTATGAGAAATAATTTTCCATAAATACTTATTTGAGCTACTAAAACAAGTTGGACTGTTAAATGCCACTTATTGCCCTGTTGAATGTTAATCTCCAAACCAATAAACACACAATACTGTCACTGAAGTAAATTTGACCTTGTATTTTATTACGTATCTTACTGGTATAAGGGTCTAAATATCCTTTCATGGGAGGGACTTTCTTTTATTTTGAGATTCCTAGATGTTAAGTTTATCCTTCAGTCCTTTGTTTGGTTTCCTTCTTATGTTTGATATTATATTTCCAATCCTTTTTATGTTATTATTATTTCTATGCTTAAAATTAGTATCTATGTATATTACTATTTCTCATATTTTGATAATAATGCATCTTTAAAAATATTTTTGGTATTACAAATTGTAAATGATAATGACACAGGAAAGAAAACTGATTTTGCTCACAGCTATGACCCAACTCTTTTTTTTTTTTTTGTCTTTTTCCTTTTTATCGGTACCGGGGATCGAACTCATGACTGCCTGCTTGCAAGGCAGGCGCTTATGCCGCTGAGCTAAATCCCCAGCCTATGACTCAACTCTTGAGACAATGCCTAGAACACAGTAGACCCTAATGAATATTTATTGAACAAGTGCGTACCTGAATAAAAGATACTTTAGACATTTAGAAATTATATTGTTATCTGCAGCAACATTGGTCACTATATATATATATTCCTAAATTTAAAAATTAGTGACTCATAAAATTCATGAGCTTAGCACAAAGGGTGGAGAGCCAGATAGAATTGGGTTCAATTTGCTTTATCTTGAGTAAGTTACTAAATTGCTACTAGCCTCAGTTTCATTCTCTGCAGAAGGGGATTGATACCAGTACAGTAGTTCTTTCCCAGAGTTGTGAGAGGATTTCAGGAGATGGCAGGCATTTTGGGGGTTGGGTGATTAGTGTTGCTAGGCAACAGATTTCATCTGGGGCAAGGTATGAGTGATCAGTGACTCTGCAATCCTGTTTTTGCCTGGTCAGTCTTTGGCAACAAAGCATATTCTCCCCGGATCAGTAATTTTGTTCTTAATGTCTGGATTCCACAATGCTGTCTTGACATGGAACTGCTTGATACAGACTCCTTAGGTGTAGACAGCTGAAATTAAAATGAATGTGCTCACCAGTGAGTTGGTAATTTTTTCAGAAAACTTTAAAATATAATTTTCCAATAGAAAATATATTGCTACTGTTCAAAAAATGAAAGATGGTATAAGTATTACAAATTTTATTACAGGCACAGTGACACTTTTTCCCCTCTGAGTAATTGCTATTCCTTTGTTACCTTTAAGGAAACAGAGCTCAAAGAGGTGACACAACTTGTTCAAGCAGCTTGTAAAGTGGCATGTGTCCCTCAGGTACCATGGCTGTTAATGTATCCTCAATTTCCTAACCAGCTTCCTGTCTTTTGTAGGTTTGTATATAGATTAAGGAGTTCCTGGAATGACTCTCCCTTACAAATTTTTTTAATGATCTGATTTTTACTTTACTCTGAATCATCTCCCTTCTTGGGCTGTCTTCTCATTTCCTCTGATTAGTCAAGGATACTAATTTCCTCAAGTACCAAGAGTTTTGTTCAATTTCATATCTTTCTACCTCACTCCTCTGGTTCCAGCAGGTCTTAAGTAGTCTCTGGGCTTTCAGTATGTACAGATTTCGAAACTGGGCTTTATAGTGCTTTTCTGCCTAAAATTTGCTATTTTGTTAGCATCTCTTTTCCATGTAGGACAGCTGACCACACTATGCTGATGGAAAGGCACAGTAACTCACGATCTCCCCAATTTCCCAGATCTCCTTCACCACCTCCAAAAATGTCTCGTTCCCTGTTTCCTATCATCTCCCTTTTATTTTACTCTTTTTATTTATATTAAGGATTTCTCATATAGGAGCAACCATGGGATGGTTATCTTTATGTCTCTGATCTATTTCCCTTAACATGCTCTCAGGATTGTTATGGTTGAAATACTATGTCAACTTGAGAAGTTTAGAAATTTAACTGAGACACAGCAGGGAGCGTGGATCTTTACTTTGTAAATATCTTCAGCCCTCTTCTTAGAGGGTATAGAGGTGGTGTGAGTACTACATCAGCCCTGGGAGAGGGGGTAGCCTGCTTACAATAGGAGAAGAGGTTTGTTATTCCCCTTTTTACTCTGGCTGCTTCTGCTGGCTGCTGCCTTTAAGTGTTGCCCCAGTGCCATGTTACCATGCTTGGAGCCAGCTGATTACGGACTGAACCTCTATAAGCTAAATAAACATTTCTCCCTTTAGTTTTGGGTTTCAGGTACCTTGTTTCAATGACAACAAAAGTAACTAAACCAGAATTTGGTATCAGAAGTGGGGTCATTGCTATGATTATACCTGACCATGTGGTTCAGGAACCTTTGGAAATGACTTGTTGGGCAGACTGGAATGATTTAGAGATGCTGGCTGAAAAAGTAGAACTGGAGTGCCTTACACTGTTATGTATGGGAGATTCTGGTCAAAGTTCAGGAGACTAAAAAGCTTGTAAAGACCAGGCGTAGGAGGTTTCTGCTGGCAAGGACAGTATTAGCTGTTGGACTCCAGGCAATGTGTGTTATGGCTTGGTGGAAAGTTAATCTGCATTTTTCTCATGTGCAGACACTTTGCTGAAACAGAGACTAAAGTCAGTGGATCAATTAATCTGGCAGAAGAAATTTCAAGACAGTAGAATGTTAATCTTTTTTTTTTTTTTGGTCTTTTTTCATTTTTATTGGTACCAGGGATCGAACTCACGACTGCCTGCTTGCAAGGCAGGTGCTTATGCCACTGAGCTAAATCCCCAGCCCCGGCAGTAGAATGTTGAGGCAGTGGTATGGCTACTACTGGGGGCTTTTAGCCAGGTCTATGTTTAGAATCAAGAGAAAAGGGCTAGCACAATGTTTTAAAATGTTGTGAATTTAGCCAGAAATGAAGCTCCAGTAAAGCTGTGGACTGCAAAGATAGAGAAGAGGAGAACTGTATTGCTTGACTGCTAGAGAAGAGGAGGAATGGGAGAATAGAAAAGATAGCCTGAGAGTGTCACAAGATGCAGCAGATCTCTACTCTGTGCAGCCTCAAAATTGCAAAAATGAAAGACATTGCTTTGAATAGAAAGCCACAGAACACCATGTTCCAGAATGACAGCAGTCTGGAGAATTTGTTCCATGGAATTGGATTCAGAGTTCTCAGCAATTCAGGCACTCTATCCCTACAGCCAAGAGGGAAGTCTGGCAGCAGATCTTGGTTTCATTCACATGATACCAATTTTAGGTGCATGCAGAATGGAAGGGTTGTAGGATTAGGAAGGCTTCCACCCTGATTTCAGAAGGACTGGGAAGTCAGACAATGTGCCCCTGAAAGGGGTAGTGTGTGAAGCCATGCATGTGAAGCCAAAGGTGCAGTGGAGCAGGAAGCCAGTGAAGTTTGGAAAAGCCAAAATTGTGGATTGTCTAAGGGAAGCTGCAAGAAGGGAGCAAAGTGTGCCTAAGAGAGAAGCTGTGGGAGCTACAACCACCAGAAGTTCCATAAAGGTGGAACCATATACGCCCCTTGGATCTCACAATTTGCTGCAGATTGCTCTGGATGCTGGACATGCAACTACAGAACTTAATGTTTTCCTTGCTAGATTTTGGACTTGCTTTTGTCCCAACTCTTTGTATCCTCCTGTTTGCAACTTTTGGAATGGGAATGTTTGTCGTGTGCCATTGAATGCTGGAAGTATTTAACTTTTTTTTTTCATTTGTACAGGCAATTGCAGCTAAGGTTTGCCTTACATCTTGGAGGAGACTTGGAACTTGAACTTTTCAGCAGTGTACTGAAACTTTTAGGCTTTTGGTAACTCTTGCAGATGGACCAAATGCTTTTTGCATAAAGGGATGTGTATGAGTCTTTGGAGGTACAGTGGCAAAATGTTATGATTTTAATGTAATACAATGTTTATAGACTTAATGTTGATTCTTAAGATTGTTAAACCTGTGTTATGAAGCTCAAGTTGTGAAATAAGAGCAAGCATGTCTTTGTATCTGGAGACTGATTTAAAGGAATATGTCTGCTTGTCAAGTTGACAAGGGGCAGATTGTTATGGTTGATACATTGTGTCAACTTGAGAAGTTTAGAAATTTAGCTAAAAGACTCAGCAGGAAGCCAGGATCCTTACTCTGTATATATCCTGAGCATGTACAATAGGAGGGTACAGAGGTGGTGTGAGGGTTGCTACATCTCTACTGGTGGTGGGGTGGAGGTAGCCTGCTTACAAAATAAAGGATAAGAGTCTTGTTCTCCTCTTCTTTTGCTCTGGCTGCTCCTGCTGGCTGCTGCCTTGAAGTGTTGCTCCAGTGCCATGCCACCATGCCTTGGAGCCAGCCGATTATGGACCAAGAACTCCACAAACTGTGAGCTAAATAAATCTTTTCTTCCTTCATTTTGGGTGTTGAGTATTTTGTCTCAGCAATGAGAGAAAAATAACCAAGATAAAGGTCCATTCATTTTCCTATGAATGACTCAAATTCCTATTCTTCATGGCTGAGTAATGCCTCTTGTGTATATATATCCTATATTTTCTTTATCTGTTCATCTATTGATGGGCATTGAGATTATTTCCATAATTTAGCTTTTGCAAATTAATCTGCTATAAATATGTATGCAAACATGACTTTCATTCTTTTGGGTAAACAGCTATAAGAGGTATAGCTGGGTCAAATGGAATTTCTATTTTTAGATTTTTGTGGATTCTCCATACTGATTTCCATGCTGGTTGCACTAGTTTAAATAATTGTTAAAACTATTGACTCGACTTGAAACAGTACTCAACTTTGCCCATGAAGTGTCTTTTTCAAAATACCTCAACAGACTAAGAGTGGCAAGGCAAATGTGAATAAGTGCTACAGTGAAGCATAAAGTCAAAGTTTCATTTTCCAGTGAAATAGAGCGTCCTTATGCCTACACTTCCTTCAGTGTCTTTCCATGACTTTGGCTCTCTTGTCACTCACACTAAGGAGGATTCATGGATTTCAGATTTCCCTTTTCCTCTGTTCCCCAAATCCTTTTTCTCCCTGATCATGACAGTCTTTGAACTTTTTCTTTTTGCTGAGAATCTTCCTTATTGCTGATTCTTTTCTTTCTGCTTATTCCCTCTTCACTTCATCCTCACTGGTTATCATCCAATGCTATAAGAGAGTTTGAGGATAAGAAGCAGAGAGAATCAGATTCATTTGGCTAGAGCAGTGATGGTGAACCACTTAGAGCTTTCAATGATAAAAAGAGCTGGCTGCAACATGCATGCTGTAGGTTCACCACCACTGGGCTAGAGAAAGGCTAGATTATTGGGTCAGCAGTGGCCCCTCTTGGCTTTCTCCAGCTGAACCAACTTTGTGACTTCTCTCTGACTCTTACCACCTTGCTGCCTTCTTTATTAACTCAGATCTTACAGGTATGTAATAACTGTTCTTTTTCTATTGACATGAGTTAATCAAGAACAGAGACATTTCAGTGACTGCTGTATCCAGAGTAACTTTTGGAATGCAAAGTACTTTCTTTTTCCATTTACAGAACCAACAGCTGAGAGCCAGAAATTCTCCATGGGGCCCTGATAACCACTCTTCACTCCCTCTGGCTTCTCACCTCCACATCCCTCTACCCAACAAGTGTGCCAGACAGCACACTATCTAGTGACTGTGGGCACCCCAGGGAGGTACAAGTTAATCTTCAACCTGTTTCTACAAGGAGATTGCTTTTCCTGAGCACATTTTTGGGACAGTATAAATGTTTCAGGTCTGATCACCCAGTATTCCTTGTTTTGCCTATGATCTTTTCTTCCATGAATAGATCTCTGTCTTAATGAGCAGTCTCTGTAAGCCACATTTGTTATTCTAACTACACCAGTAACTATTCCCTCCTTACCACAATTCCTCAACCACAGGTCAGCACACACTACCCATGCATTTAGAGGTCATTGCTCTGGGCACCATGACACTTTGCCTGGGCATGTTCAGGTGCACAGCCAGTGCTTCTCTGTCACAAGCCCAGCGCCCTGGGGCCCCAAATACTCTCAAACAACAAAGTACTCTTGGTGGAAGTTGAACTTTGTTTCTTGTATAGAATTTTCAGGAACTAGGAGGACACATGTTGGGACATTTAAAAGTCACATAAAACAGATAAGTAACTCTAATGTAATCTTTTTATTCTTATCTTTAATATTTTTCTATACATTAAAATAAAAGGGCAGTATTCAAGTTCACTAGAACTAATTACAATTGAGTCCAATTTCCTTGTGAATGTAACAAATGTTCAGAAGTTTTGTTTTCTGAGCTGACTTCAGAATTTGAGGTTAGTAATTCCTAGGGCACCAGCTAATGCAATAGTAATCTAAAAGTGGCTGGGCTACTATGGCCTCTTATAATATGATTGAGTCTCCCAATATATTGCATAAATGAATCTTATCCTAAAATCAAACACCATAGGATTGATTTTTTAAATTCAAAGACAGAAAAAATTAAATCTATTATGGTAGACACTGGGTAGTGGGTACCGGGAGAGGTAATATTTGGGGGAGGCTTGCTGGTAATATTTCTTGGATAGTGTTCACTTTATGAAATTTCATAGTGCTATATAAGATGCACACTGTAATCTATGTGTTTTTCTGTAGATGTGTTATGCTCAAACAAAAATTATTTTCAGTGGCTAATCAGCATTTTGGCTGCTGTGCTTTTGAAGAGGGTAAGGTGAGAACATTATGCTATGATAGTACTAAAGTATCTACTTTAATAGTTCAAGATAGCAAGTTCCCCTAATCCCAGTAAGTAACTGTAGAACAGGCAAGTCCCAGATCAAGATATCAGTAGATGTGCATATAAAATGTAAGGAATTCTAGGAATTATATACTACACACTTCTTATGCTCTTGGACCACGTACTTCTGAATCCTAAAATAAGGAAGTTGGTGAGCAACATGTCTCTCTCATTAGGAAAGTCTAAGTAGGGAAGACACTCTTCTGCTCCATGGCATTGCTTTGTGGCCCAGGCTTGGCAAATGGATGCTTTGGGCCTGGTCTTTGAATTTTTGGGGCAGCTGACAAAATTGAAGGCAGGAAAGGAACAATTCAGGTGTTAGGAATTCAGTGTTGAGTACTCAGTAGAAGGAAGGAACCTTAGCAATGGAACATGGAGCAGCTTTCTGGGTAAGGTGTGTGTGTGTGTGTGTGTGTGTGTGTGTGTATGGTGCTGAGGAGCTGAATCCAGAGCCTTGTTCACGCTAGGCAAGGACTGTACCACCAAGCAATATCCCCGTCCCTAGGCAGCATGTTTTTGTTGCAGGATTTGAGTTCTCAGCTTTCAGACTTTTGAGGCTCTTCATCAATTCTGAGTATACTTGATTATACTTGATACTCTTCCTAAGTCCATTTTCTGATTAAAATAAGCAGAGAAAGTTTTGTTATTTACATCCAAGCACCTTGACTAGTACAAAAGCTCGCCAGCAAAACATTCTAAATTCTGCTTGCAATTCTTCACTCAAATTTTTATCATATCTCTTTTAATTCCACTAACTAGAGATGAAGAAGTAAGCTATGCTCCTGTCTCAAAAAACTAACATGCTTGCAGGGCAACTAACCCTTCATACTTCAATGAGAGTTCTTTCAACTCACCTTTATCTTTATTAGAGACCAGTACATTAAGAAAATAGTACAGAGGAGGGAGGAGTTAAGGAATATTTCATTGCAGAGGACGGGGCATTTCAGGAATGGGCAAAAATGAAGTAAAGTACCAAGGTAGGGAGGCTTAGAAAGTCAGAGGGCGCCATGAGGTCAAGAGATTTATATCAGGCAAGGAAAAGAGGAAACCAGGGAATAGGGCTGAGAGATATGTGTCAGAGAGCCAATACAAACTTTTGACATTTCACTTTAGATTGGCCTTTGCTAGATGATTTTTTTAAATTGCAATATTTTTAAAATTTTTATTTAAAGAGAAACAAAACCAAAACAAAACAGTAAAAGGGCACACGTAATACAGAACTTCAAAAAATATACAGTAAGAAATCACTAGTTAATAGATTACGTATTGTCATCTTAGAAATAGTTGTTCAAATTACAAAATTAAAGCATACAAAGTAGACATTCAAACAGTGAGACTGCAAACAGTTCTGTTCAATGATCCAACAAAAACTTAGTAATATGGTTTTCTATCTTACACACTTAAATATACATGCAGTTATATCCTTTAGATCACTTTCTTTTCCTCTCTTTTTTATAATAACAATTACACATTTTGGGTTTTATTACTCCCACAGTTCTTATTACTTTTTTTTTGAAGAGAATAAAACCAAATGTGACAAAGCAAAACAGAGTCAACACAAGGATGGACATAGTACATGATGTAAAAACAGAATACCAGGTGATCAACAATGGTTACCATTATGCCTCTTGCTATCTTAAAAACAGTTGCTTATATCATCAGGTATAATAGAATCGAACAAAACAGTACTGAGCAAAACCAATAAAATCTAAACATTGGAGACCTTACAGGACTTCAAAAGAAGATAATAGGCAAACCATAAAGGGCATCATAGTGAATCTTATTGCCTTCAAAGTGGTTGCCTATACCCTCAAACTTGATACTATCAAACAAAACAGAATAGAGTAAAATCAGTCAAAACAAGATGGGGAGAGCAATACAGGGGTTCAAATCAGGTTAATAGAAAAACAAAAAAGTTACTATAATATATCCTGCTATTTTTTAATTTATCTTTTCCCTTAATTAAAAAATATTTTTTTAAAAAAAGGAAAAAAGAGGAGATTGATATAAAAGAGGACATAAAAACAGAACAACACAGTTCAGAACAGAACAATTTAAGCATCATAGTGCTTCACCACCAGATAACCTGACATAATAGTAGTTACCATAGTGTCTCTTTCCTTGAAATGTTTGAGTATAACTTCGTATACTATAGCATCAAACATAGCAAGACAGTGTGAAACCATTCAAGAGAATGAAAGTATTACAGGGTATTTAGAACAGAAAATGAACAATGGTTTCTATATTATTTCTTTGCCTATAAAATTTTTTGTTTATACTATCACATATATTAAAATACAGTAAGATACAACTTTTTTGATTGTTCATTTTGTTAGAGTAGCTAATTAGGAGTCCTGGCCTCTTAGGGTTCTTGGAGTGATTACAGGTGATTTATCATGTTATTACAACTCTCAGTTTATGTTACAAACACCATTAGGAGAAGCAGTATGGGTTCAGAATCTACTTTCCCAGACTAATCTTCATAAAACAACAGGAGTTCATTCAGAACCAGTTATGCCAGACTAAACTCATTTCCTTTGTTGATGGGGTTACTAGCCTGCTAGGCTTCAGTAGGATAGAAACCCACGAGCCCTGTATAGTTAAACAGATTTATAATTGGTTGAACAATCCCATGCAAAGACTGAAGATTAAGGGATCTGTGTCAGTTTTAAAGGAAGTCCCTAGGCATTTGCTGCAGGCCCCAGTCAACATTTTTGTTAACTACCTGGATGGGTTCACAGAGGATGTTGCTCAAATTTACCAAAAGGATTAGTGGCTGTGTGGTCGACAAGATCAGAATTTAGAAAGAATTTAGTAGACTGAAGTGATGTCATAGACATAACAAGATGGTATTTAATAGGAATAAATATGAAGATTTACACTTAGCTCTGAGATGTCAGCTATATGTGCAGAGGCTGGATGTCACTTCATATAACAACTGCAGTTGAGGAAGACAGACCCTGACGCAGAGGCATGATATTCCTGACTCAGCAGGATCTCTGTCTCTTCTTTGGAGAGGGTATGGCTCATCTTGGGCACTGCCCCTGAAGAGCAACAGGGACAAAGTGGAACAGTTCCAGAGGCAAGATCCAGGCCATGAGGAGTCTGAAGCCATTCTGTAGGAAGAAGAACAACAGATGGAGAAGCCTTGAGATCTTGGAGGTTAGCCCACTTGTTTTTAAATTATTTTCAGGCTGCTACAATGGAAGATGAATTAGATATGTGTTGATGGTCTCAGAGGGTACAACTCACAGCCGTCGGTGGAAGTTGCAGCTTCTAAAATTTAGGAAACTTTCCTAACAATTAAGGAAGCAGGAATATATAGTGTTAAGAGGTGTGGTTTGAATCTCAGACGTGCCACTTAACAACGCACAGCTGGGAAAGTTTTGTCTTTTATTTTCATGATACTAAAACACCTAGCATATGGTCTGCTTCACAAAGGGACTCAATATATAGCTGTTTTTGTAATGGTTGCTGCTGTAGTTGCTTAGAAATTGAAAACGTGGCCTCAGGTGGGAGTGGGTTTGAGCATAGTTGGAATGATGAGAAAGAGATTTTATGTCTTTTATGTGATGAATGGGGTGATTCTTAGGGCCTGTTTAATAACGGGATTTGACATCTCTGGAACAAAGTGAAGTATATGTCCCAGAGAAAAAGGAATAAGGAGGAGATTTGCCTCATATCCTTACTTTCGTTCAGATTTGTTCTCAGAACAGGTATGCTTTGTGATTCACAATGCCTGAAGAGTTAATTTTTTCTCATATTATGAACATTCAAAGCTTGACCTATGGGCCAAGTATAAAGTAATTCATAATTTTAAACTAGCTTCTTTTTATTAAAGCCAGGTTATACATTAGGCAATGAATGAATCATCTTCCATCTCTTAATAATCATATTTTAATATAGTATCAGAGTAACATTATTACTTGATAATTATATAATAAATATTACTTTTAATATACTGGAATGGGAATATTATATGATAAACATCACTGGAACATTGAGAAGGAAGCAATTAATTCTGACTGGAGGATTAGGAAAGGTTTCTTGGAGAACATGGCATTAGAGTTGGGTGCTGGACAAGTGAGATTTTAATAGATGGGAGTATGGTGGAGGCAAGGCTTTCCAGGTTAGGGAATGGCTTAAACAAAGGCAAAGAAGTAATTAACAGAGATAATGACTCATCTTTCCAGGGCTAACACTGCCATTTTTCTTGTGGCTACCTTCTTCATTGCTATCAGGGACAGCATTTTGATGTGAAATTGTAGGAAAAAATGTTGCATTTGGTGACTTGTCATTATGCCTGCACTGAAGTTCTTTCTTGTTTCATTATTAAAATTGCTGAAATGCCTACCCCATGTGTGTAGAGACCTGAACACTAAGGCAAGTGAACTGAGTGACTCAGAGATGAAGCTTCAGATGATGACAGTGATGACCAAGAAAGGAGGTCTTAGACTATGCACAAAAGCAGAATATTTCACCTGCCTGGAAGAGGCTTTTCAGGCTTTGCAAAAGGCTTTTCCTGCTAGTGTGAGTCCATTACCAGCAAAGGGATCTGAGAATGGGAGGCCATCAATAGCAGCCCTTCCACTGTTATTTTTACTTACTCATATATACACTGGGCAGGCTTGGGAAAATGAGAATGGCAGATCACTGGGGAAGCAAGACCCCCCGGCTAGTATGGTTTTCCCCTTGGATGGATGGAAAAAGATGCTAATTCTACCTGTCCCAATATGTCCAACTCTAGACAAGCATTTGGACAGAACAGTGCTTGGGGGCTGCCTTCACCCAAATTTATCACAACTTAATCAATGATTAAGGCGTGGGAGTAGTGCTGTTTCCTAAATTTATATATTGATAGCATTTAGAGGCAAGAATCAGGTTAGGGTGTTATGATTTGAATATTTGTATCACCCAAAATTCATACGTTGAAAGCTGATCACCAGTATGATGGGTATGAGGTAGGACCTTTGGGAAGTGATTATACTGTGAAGGAGCTCTCATAAAAGAGGCCTCAGAGAGCTTCCTTGTACCTTCCATGATGTGAAGACATAGAATCCATTTATGAGCCTGAAAACAGATTTTACCAGACATTACATCTCCTAGTGTCTTGACCTTAGACTTGGCAGTCTCTGAAATTATGAGAAATGAAGTTGCTATTTATAAGACACCTATCTATGGCATTTTATTACAGGAACCCAATTCAAGAGGAGTTGCAACTTGGAACAGTTCAGGATTCCAGGAGTCATCCTCATTACATCTTATCTGTCTTATTGCTTCACTTGGCATTTATTAAACTTCTGTTATTATTATTATTACTATTTTAAAGAGGGTAAAACAAAACAGAACAAAACAGATCAGAAGGAAACAATGCAAATGACACAAATTTCAAAGCAAGACAACAGGAGATCAACAGTGGCTACCATAATGTCTCTTATTTTCTTCTAAATAGTGGTTCTTCACACACATTGAATTCATGCAAAGCAAAATAGTATAAAACTCATCAAAACAAAATAATGAAGGCATTACGGGCCTTCAAAACCAGACAGTAGAAAAATCAACAATGGCTACTGTAATGTTGTTCTTGTTCTCTTCAAAATAGCTGTTCATACCTTCAAGTATGTTGTAATTAAATAATACAAAACAGACGAAAACCATATTAAAAAAGAAAAAAGTGTTAATGGATTTCACACCATGACTATACGAAGCCATCAATAGATACCACAATGTTTCTTTTTCTTCAGTGTATCTGTTCATTTCATCATGCATAATATAATTGATTCTTGTAAACTGTTTAGGAGAAACTCTAGGCATATATAAGACTCTACATGTACATCTATCCTTTTTACATTACAGGGGAAAACAAAACAAAACAAAAAAACCAAAAACCAAATTAGAAAAACAGGAAACAAAAAAGGCAAATAAATAACAATAGCAAAGAGCCCAAAATAATGGTGCTATAAGCCTTCAATACAAGGTGGTAGGAACATAACTGAGGTTGTTATTTTACATAGTGATCTTCAAAAGAGTTCCTAAGATCACTGAACACAAACATGCAAAATAGATCCAACCCTATGGACGTTAACTGTTTTATTCCAAGAGCTTTGTAGCACAAGGATTTGTAGCACAGTCATCTTAGCTGTCTTAAGTGTGTTTATACAAATTTAGATATTTTCTTTTCTCTTTTTTACTTTTTCCCCGAGATATTATTTTTTTCCCTTTGAGCAGATTCTTATCCTTTCACAGTATTTATTGAGGATTTTGTATTTTATATACTCTTACCATTTCTTACACTAGGAAGACGATACAATTTATTTCACTTATGAGTATAACCTCAATTTGCATCCATTTACTATAAATATCTCAATGTGGTCATTCTTTATACCTGGTCCATTGTATAAAAGTACCACATCTTCTTTATCCATTCTTCAGTTGATAGACATTTAGATTGTTTCCAAGATCTGGCTATTACAAATTGTGGTGCTATAAACGTGGTGCACATATAGCACTGTGATATGATGTTTTCAGTTACTCTGGGAATATGCCCAGAAGTGGAATAGCTGGGTCAAATGGGACTTCAAATCCCAGATTTATGAGGAACCTTCAGACTGATCTCCACAATGGTTGCACCAGTCTATACTCCTACCAACAATACAGAAGTGTTCTTTTTTCCCCATAGCCCTCCCATCATTTTTAAAAATTATTTATTTATTTATTTATTTATTTTCCTTACATCATTTGTTATTGGTAGTTTCCTTTATCCTGGTCATTCTTTCTGGAGTGAGATGGAATCTCAGGGTTATTTTAATTTTCATTTCTCTAATGATCGATGATAACTGTACATTTTTTCATGTATGTATTTGCCATTTGTATTTCTTCATCTGAGAATTGTGTGTTCATTTCAGATGCCCATATTTGGATTGGATCTTTGAATTTTGGGGTCTGATTTTTTTATTCTTTATATGTTTTAGACAGAAGTCCTTTGTCTGAGGGAGAGTTCACTAAGATTTTTTCCCAGTTTGTGGGTTTTCTTTTCACTATGTGGAGATTTCTTTTGACATGCAGAAACTTTTTAATAAGATGTGATCCCAGTTATTAGTTCTGGGAAGTATTTCCTCTGCAGTTTGATTTTTGCTCATGAATTCTCTGCCTACTCCAATGTCTTCAACATTTATACATCCTTTGTCTTCCAGCAGATTTAGTGCTTTTGTCTTAATATTTAGATCTTTGATCCATTTTGAATTTAGTTTAGTGCATGGTGATAGGCATGGGTCTAGTTTTCATTGTCAGCATATGGAGAGCCAGTTTTTCCAATACCACTTATTAAAGAGACTCTCTTCCAGTGAATGTGCTTGGCTCCTTTGTCAAAGATAAGGTGGCTGAGTGTGTTTGTAGTTGTGTTTGCAACTTCTAATTGGTTCCATTGACCCTCAGGTCTGTTTTTTGCCAGTACCATGCTGATTTTATTACAGTAGCTTTGTAGTATAACTTCAAGTCAGGGATTATGATGCCTCCTACTTTACCTTTGTTGCTTAGAATTGGCTTTGCTGTTTTAGGTTTTTCTGATTCTAAATGAATTTTAGGAGTGATTTCTCTAGATCTGTGAGGTATAATAGTGATATTTTGATTGGAATTGCATTAAATCTGTATAGCAATTTTGGGAGAATGGCCATTTTCACAATAGTTGTTCTTCCTATTCATGAACAAGGAATGTCTTTCCATTTTCTTTTTCTTTTTTTTTAAATTTTATTTAAGGAGAAAAAGAAAAAAAGCAGAGAAAGGATACAAGTTATACAGATTTACAGAAAAAAATAAACAGTAGGAAATCACTAGTTAATGGATTACATATTGTCATCTTAGAAATAATTGTTCAAGTTACAAAATTAAAGCTTATAAAGTGGACATTCCAACAGT